AAATACTTTTCAGTGTTAAAATCCACATTAAGGCACTGTCAATATCAACAGTTGGGACTGTAAATACCTGCTGTCAAGTATTGTCTCATTCATTCAAAGCTGGACATTTTTTTCCCAATATGTTTTGCATTGGACCAACACCCAGCTGTCATTCATGCCCTGCTTCGCCTTTAAAAAAACCCAACAACCAAAACAAGTACTGTTAACAAAAGCTGACTTCTTGATCTTAAGAACACCCAGTTATTGTTTTTGTGAAACACTGACGTTTCCTGGCTGGTGCCTAAATGGATGCTCAAGAAGACCTGTATGTATGCCTATATAGCTGAAATCCCTTTAGGAAGTGCTGGGGAGGGCAAAAAGAAAAAACAAGCAACTTAATATTTATTTCATTAGGCAGAGCTTTTTAGCCTCCCACACCGTATTACGTACAAGCTAATCTGGGCTACCTGAAGGTAAGATGGGAGGGCCAAAACCTCAAGTAAAGATTTGGAGTGCCAAACCTAACTTACAGCTTCCGAAGTAGTTACCTACAATTTCCAAAGTAGGTGCTAAATAGATGTAATAGCTCTTGCATATGGACACTTCCAGTCCAGAAGCTGCTAATTGACCTCCCCTGCCTGCTGCTGCTGATTGCTGCGAAGAACTGTAGTGGCCAACATGTCCTGCTGTTCTCTGATAATGAGACCTTGCTCCTTGGGTCCAGAAAATGTAAAAGAGAGCATCATTGCGGAACCTGCCGGGGCAGAAGCATCAGCAGTAAAAAAAGTAGGTGCAGAAGGAAAATACGGGACATCTAGATGTAAAACATTATTTAAATCGGTGGACTCCAGGGTATTGAGGGAGGCTCAGCTGCACGGTATTCCATTTCTTTAGTCACTGGGAGTAAGTTGTGCTATAAGGCAGCCGAGCAGGACAGTGGAGATGAGTTTTGGGCAGTACCTCTGCTAGTCAGAGTTTTCGGATGCAGGTTGATAGTCTCCAGTGGATCTTGCTTCTAAAGGGTGTTTGAACAGCCCTTGGTCTGTTCTACATTTGTCACAAAAATGTTACTCTTAAGCACTTAAAACAGGTGTTTGGGACAATAAAAATATTCAGTGTTTCAAATGGAAGGTAGGGGTGGGAAATATTGGCCACTTTCCACACAAGTCCTACAGCTTTTCTTGTTTCCTTGGAAAAACGTCAGCATCTTGATTTTTAGAAATTCACCTTCTGTCCATTCCTCTTATATGAACCTGTTTATTTGCAAATAATAATTAGTCTAATTTATTACCTGCATCATATATTCTTTGTGAGGATCTAAAATAACAGCAGCACCCCCTCTGCCTTTAAGACAAGCAGTCAGATTGGGTACTGTTTGGGTCTTCCCCTGTGATCCACAGGCAGAGAGGGGGACAAAAAAGGATGCTAGTTAGCACTGCCATGGGGACGTGGCAAGCACTGTAATTAACAGCATCAACAGCAAATGCCATCTCAATTTAGCAGTGTCCTGCTGGGATCTTCCTCTGAGTCATAATATGTCCTGATGCTGCTGCTTTCTGCCCGTGTCCGAACCTACGTGGAAAGGTTTAATCTGGCTCAAAGCAGAGTTTCTTCAGCACTGGATCAAAGAGAGGGAAATGAGTTAAACCTCAGCCTGCTCAAACCTCTGCGTTAAAGACGTGGAAGGACAGTGAGCTGGATTAACCCGGTATATAGGTGTATTTCATAGCTAGTTCAAGTAGAGGTTCTCCCAGCGTGCATGGGATGAGATCCTGCCTCTGAATTCGTGTTGTTATTAACAGCGCTGGCTCAGTTTTAGAAGGCAACATCTGAAAGTCATGCAGGGGAGCTGGCTGAGCTCTTAATTAGCTACAGAAAGGTGCGTCAGAAATGCAGCAAGGCAGGGCGTGATGTCTGGTGACTTCTTGCGGCGTTATTCCCTCCAGTTGCTTTTGTGCCCTCCTGCAGTTAATGAGATACGGGGGGCTTGGCATTGACCCTGCGTTGTGTTAGGGCATGGAGCAATTTGTTATATATTTGTAGATCCCGCTTTCATTTTCTTTTTATTAGAATGACCTGGAAACTACATAAAGGGCTGTCAGAAAATGATGGTTGATGGTCAGCACTGTCATATAGTTAAGCAATCATTTTCTTCTGTTTTCTTCTTCATCCCATTTTACAAACGTATCCAATAGCAACAGAGGAATTTCCAAATTTGTTGGGTAGTTTTTTGTTTGTTTCTTAAATCTATAGGTTTGCAGAGTTATTTGTGGAGATTACTGCAGATCCTGCAGTAAAAGTTTGCAGTTATTCAACTAGTTTGCACTCTTTAAATCTTATTTAGATTTGTTACTACAGGAGTGGGAGAAGAAAATTTGACTTCCTGTATTCTTGTAAGGACCATTTCTCTGTATTTGAAATAAAACCTATGTCTTTCTGGTTGTACCTTAACAAATTCCTAGAAAACTATGATTTTAGTTTAGGCAGAATTTATGGCAGAAGATGATTTGGGGGGAGGTTGGGGGTGTCCATCTTGAGGAATGCCTTTCAGATTAAAGAGTTCTGCTAAAATCAGAGGCCAGTTTCCTTTTATCAGGCTATTCATCGAGTACCTGCTCCGAATGCTATAAACATAAATCCTTTCCAGAAAGAGTTTCACTCACCCTCGTGAGGCTGTCTGCCAAGTCTTTGGTAGCATATACTTGTTACCTCCGAAACTTGCAGGTGTTAAACAGGTGTCCGGGAGAGAACAACATTACAGATCCCCCAGGGCCGCTTTGTTTTCCCCTAATGACAGAGAATATCACCTAGCAGGAGGAGCAGTTTCTGTTTTTCCATGTGATGCAAAAGACCATTACAGAATTTCAGATTACTAAATGACACTTGGCTGGAATTTGAACGGGTACTAACTAGCTTACTAAATGAATATATATTTGCAAGTATCTTGTAATTTTGCACCCATGGGAGAGAGGAACCAAAAAGGACTGTTTTCTCTAGCTGTAGAAGAAATGAAAATCAGAATTTGACTTGCAAAGCCGAAGTTGCATCATCCCTCTCCAGATCAGAATAAGGATGAGTGCACGAGAAGGCCAAGAGAAGAATTTGTTCCAGTTTTGAATTTTACTTCCATTTTAGTTAGATTTTGTAAAATATTGGTCCTATTACCATAAAATCAAAGTTAGTTGATTTCTTCAAAAAAATTTTCTTTCATTTTTAAAGATGGCACTTAGTCAGCACCATCTAGTGGACTGACTGCTGTTGTCATTTAGAAAACAGATGGTCTTCATAAACCGCATAGCAGATTAGAGCATGCAGTCCTTGCAGTGTGAATAGCGTGCCTAAAGCATGTTTGTGACTAATTGTGCACCTGAGTCAGAAGAAGATTGTTGTTTAGTTGGAAAGGAGCAGTGTGAAGGAAAGAACATTTACTATACCTGCGGGTAGCGGTGCCTGTTATCTTCCTGCGTTCCTTTAGTCCATCGAGCTCCAGCCTGCTTGCCTGCTTCTCTGCCTTACCATGTGGTGCCATCCAGGTTGTAAGCGTCTCTAAGGAAGGACTTTGGAATACTGTTTCTTTGTGCAGTACCACATGGCACAAATCACAGCCTAATTTGTCACCGTGATACAAGTGATAAATACGAGCTGGTGCTAACAGTGAGCTCTGAAGTCCTCACCCAAGGAAAACGCTCTGGAGTCTTTCTATTTTAAGTTGTAGGCAAGGAGTTTGGTGTTTGGCTCTTTGAAAAAATCCCTTGGGAAAACCTCCCTATATGCACTCCATAGAATTGCCAGGTCATCCCAGCGGCTGCCTCAGGACTCGGGAAAAGATAAGGGGTCTGCGGCTCAGGTCTTTGGGAGCATATGGGAACAGGTTTGCTTTTTCCAGCTCCAGCAAGAAGGGCTGAATCTCTGGAAGAATGAATGTCCCTAGAAGGACGGGGTGTTTCTGCAGCCCTGGCTACATCACCAGCATCCTAGTGCTCTCTCTTAAATAAGGTTTCTTTGGCAGCAAGCCCTTAATTTTGCAGCTCCAGTTGCAAATGAAGAGAAAGCAAAGGAGGGAGATCCTGAGTCTCTGGGGAGATGACCCTGACAAGAGCCACAGACGTTGGGGAGAGAGCAGACAGACAGGCGCTCTCACTCAGTGACACCGGGAGGGCACCAGAGGCGGAACGTCCCTCCAGTGTGAGGAGCAGAAAGCACCACTGAGAGCAGGGGGAGCTACGGGCAATAGGAGCAGAGACAAAGTTGCGTTACAGCAAATGCACCATACTGTAACATCTTCCCCTTTAAGCTTCCTTGCGTTTTAACATTTCATCACTTTAGGCTCTGTTGTTTTTGTTCAGTTCACGTGTTTTGGACAATGAAAATAAGTGGGTCAGTTTTATTCTGTAAATTTGTATGCATTAGTACAATAACGTTGTGCTGAGTTTTCCAAAAAAAGGTATTCTTAAATAATTCATAGAAGCATTTCACTTCACTTTTCCAAAATCCAAATGTGCAGACTAGTTTGTTTCCCAGGTTTAAGGGAACCCAGCATTTAAGTAACATTTTCTTTTCTTTCTTGCTTTTCTAAGTTTTTAATGTAGCGCAGCAGTCAGAATATCACTTGTCTGCTCGCCTCCTCACAACGTTGCGTTGCAGCATAATCTTTCCAGGGTGAAGTGGCCAGTTTTTCCGATGAAGAAAATAGAGGTTTAGCGATTTTCCTTTTCAAGTTTTAAATTTGAGACAATAGCTGTGGGTACGGGTTGTAGTGTACGTGTTCATCCAGTTGAGTGGGTGCAGTCCTGTTTGGAAACCCACTTATGACTGACACCAGCAGGAAACGTGGATCCGAAAAAGTTATAATGTTTAAGTAAACAAATGTAGTGACAGGAATCCTGTTTTGTTAGAGGTTTGGGGATAAATCCTACATGCTGGAAAATAACTATTTGCAAAGAGGTGGCTCTGCTTTTGTAGTAGCTATGAACCAAACATTAGGTAGCATATGGGAATTCAAGAAAACACTTAAAATTGTTTCCTCTCTTTCTGTTTCTCCTCCAGCTCTGGGATTGTACACAGTAAATGCAGTATATGGAGATACTATTACTATGCCCTGTCGTCTAGAAGTACCAGATGGTCTCATGTTTGGGAAATGGAAATATGTAAGTATAGCTTATCTTTACATTCATTAGAGCCGGTACAAGAAGATGTGTATTTTTTGTGTGTGAGATTACAAGGCTCCAATCGATAGGATTTCTGCCTTGGATGCGAAGACATTTATTCCTGTGTTTGTAAGACTGCAACATTCCAACCTGCATAATTTCTGCCAAGCATAGATTAGAGGTTTGAGGAATTAATCTCGTTGTTCAAGAGAAGTAATTATTCGGGAGTTCTCTGCCAACCTGTATTAGAGATCTGGCATGTTACCCAGTGGTGTCTCGCTCGCTTGACAGAGCCATCGTTGTACATCTGAATACTTTTGAAGCGGGCTGCCTGGAGCGGGGCGCGCTTCCTCCCTGGGAAAGCGCTGTCCCCGGGTCTGGTTCATCTGACAGTCACTCAGTACTGTTTCACGCTTCAGCGCGTCTTATGCTCAGCAAAGAAGAGGGCAGCGCCGACCTTAGTAGAGTCGGTGGTGGTTTCACTCTGCCATTTCTGGCACACAGAGAACAGAGGCGCACCACAAAAACATGGGTGGTCTCTTGGTCATCTCGGTCAGCCTGCAGTAGGAATACCACAGGATGCGCTGCTTCTGTGTGTGATTGGTATCCCAAGACAAAAGAAGAATAAGCATATCAAAGTCAAGTGCAACCTGGAAGCACATGTGGAAAAAAGTGCCAGGAGAATGAAACCTTCCAGCTTCTCAGACTGACATCGGGACAACTGGTTTTCCTCTTTCAGTAAAGTTCATCTAAATCTCCTCTTGTGCTCAAACCGAAATGTTACCAGCAATAGCAGGTGATTTCTACTCTGACAGTGGATTTAAAATTACGTAGCGTTCTCTTTTTGAATGGCATCCAGCAGACTGGTCTGCCACTGGGGTTGTTGCGTAATCCCCCTGGCTCCTTCCCTTGTAGCTGGAAGTTTGCAGCTTTTGAAGCTCTCATCCACTCAAGAGTTCCGCAAACATATTTCAGGACGTGAAGTCAGAAATCTGTAGAGAACGTGTCCCTAAAAGGGACAGTGAAACTGGTTCATATAAATCCATCTGTACGAAGATGCAAGGCTATTTGGAGCAAAAGAAATGCATTGTCTCTTTCCAGTGCGTTTGGATTGCTCAGCTCACACAAGTACCAGGCAGCAAATGGAGATGTTATAGCCTCGTCTGAATAGAAAGGGACATGAAACCCAACATGCAAAAAAGCCCATCCACTTTCAAGCGTATGAAACTGTTGACAGAGCCGACACAACCAAGTGAAAGTGATACCCATTCTCCCAGGGCAGCTCCCAGCATGGCAACACTTGTTTTTAACAGGGGGAGGGCTGGTTTGGTGTTTTTTTGGTCAGGTGGTTATTTCATTGGAAGAAGGAGGAACTCTTGTTTTCTGCTCTGCTGCCTTAGGAGTAGCAGTTCGGGTTGCTGGTAAAAGCTTGGGGTACTGGGAGACTTGCACCACGGCAGGAGCAGGAGTTGCTCCCTTCAGCATCTACCTGCGCTAGGGAGCCTTACGGAGTTAAGAGCTTGTTTGCACTCGACAGCCAACTTTGCATGTATCGAGTCAAGGCAAAGCTTTCTTTCCTGTGTGACAGACGTCTATAGTAATCCGAGAGTTAAAAGCGGGAGAGGGAAGAAAGGCTATGGGGGAATTGAAACTTCACATTAGCTGTTGCCTCCTGCTCCCTGCCCAGCTCTGACACCGCTCATCTCCTGTCACAGCATCGTCATGCTTTTGTGGGCTCTGCAGTCAAGCTGAGGTATTGTGCTGGGAACACTACTCGCATCAGTGCTGCAAGGTGCAAGGATTAAAAGGGAAAGAAAACCTCTTCCAGCCCCCGGCACAATACCGAATATAAAGATGGAGTCAGCTTTTCACCTCGCTCTGTTTAAAGGCAGACAGTGTCTGTCCCTGCTCAGGGGAGAGGGGGTGTGAAATCCTGCAGAACTCAGCCTGTAACTTTGTGGCTCATAAAAGTAAATTTTTGTTATGGCAGGTTTGTGCAAGGCTGTCAACTTTGTATTCCTTCTTAGGGTGGCAACTGCATACTTATTAATATAAGCAGGATGTCTAGAAAATGATATTTTGCAGATTATCCTGAGATGCATAAATAACAATATTTGATTGTATGTATATTCCCATGCCGCTAACTCTTGGATCCTTTAAAAACAAAGAAGAAAAAAAAAAGCTAAAAACTAATTTAGAATAAAATAGGCAGTTATGCCTGATTAAATCCTGCATTTGGAATGAAGTCTGAATATCCCCGACAAACAATATGAATATGTAAAACAATCGTGAAAAAAAAGGCAAGTGAAGCTTTTGAACCTAGCTCCCAAATGCTTCTATTTCAAATACTTTTGCATACACACAGAGGCAGGTGGAGCCAGAACCACCGGCCTTCATCAGAGAAAGCCCTATGCTGTGCTGAGATTGAGCCAAAGGATTGAAATTATTTCTACTGTTGATATTCTTAATGTGTACCATGGCAATCTTAAAATAGCTGCCGTACTACCCCTATTTCTTGCTTGTACAGCAGAAATGAATCAAGATAAAAGCCATCTGATGTAGTTTTCAGATTTTTTTTAAATTATGGGTTTGTACCAATTGCAGATCTTCAGGAACTTCTAAATGAGTGTTTATGCAAAAATGGAGGTGTTTATCCTTTTATTATAGGAAATGCCAAATGGATCTCCAGTATTTATTGCCTTCAGATCATCAACAAAAAAAAATGTACAGTATGATGATGTACCAGACTACAAAGACAGGTTGAGTCTCTCAGAAAACTATACATTATCCATCAAGAATGCAAGAATCAGTGATGAAAAGAGATTTGTATGTATGCTAGTTACAGAAGATGATGTTTCCGAAGAGCCAACGATAGTCAAAGTCTTCAGTAAGTAAATCTAGTTGTTACTACCATTAACGTTCAGCAGCATCTGAATCGTAAATTATGGAAACTTTTGTTTAAGGGAAAGATTAAAGCCAAGAAAGTAAGTTTGGCTGAGTAAATCACTAAGACTAGCAAATTTCTGCAGCTTTCAGAAATGTAATCTACTGGTGGCATTTACGTAACAGGACTGCCTGCACTTGCAGTTTATTCATGATAAGTGCTGGCTCAAAGAGAATTTTAGGCTTTGATAATGACTCACTTATGTGATGTCATTTGGCCTTGGAAATGCAAAATGTAAAATTAGCACTGATTATTTTCCATTTGTTCTCGGAGCGAATTTTTCTGCAGGAGGGAAGCATTAACTGTGTGCGGTCTGCAGGATTAGATCAGTGGAGAGGTTTAAACCAGCTCCGAGCAACTAGTGCGCAAGGGTATGAACTGTGAGTGAGCGAGCAAACAAAAGGCTGGAAAACGAGTTGCTAGCCCCAAATGCTTATTTTGTCCCCTGCTGA